TCCTCCTCCTCCTCCTCCTCCTCCTCCTCCCTCCTCCCCTTCGCTTCGCTTCGATTGCTGTAATGGGCAGGCAACAGCGCACATGGACATGCAACTCCCTGACGCACTGACATGCTTTACGTGGGCTCTCTGGGGAACTCGCGGCCCCCGAGAATGACCATCTATTAGTGGCACTTAGTGGCCGCTAGCGGCCTGTAGCGGCTGTTTAGTGGCACTCAGTGGCATTTCGCGGCCCCGAAAATTACCATTTAGTGGCACCTAGCGGCCGCTACTGGCTCCGAGAACGGTGAGTTTGTCAAAAAAGCAGAGACGATGTCAAAAGACGCAAACCATGCTGAAGCGGATCTGATGTAAAAACAGACTCAGAAACATTTGATATAAACGTTTTGACACCATTCAGTGGCATTACTTACGCAGGACGAAAGATTTTCCTCTTGAGGTGAAAATGGCCATGAGGAGTTCGCGAGACAACGTCGGCGCCGCCGAACGGACGGCGACCGGACGAGCTTTTTGCAGCAACCGGGGGAAGAGGGATGTATGTATTCATGTTGAATGGGGCCCGCTCGCGCGGGGAGTTGATGGGAGTGCGCGAAACGACGCAGGGCCCATCGTGGAAAATTGATTACCGAACCCCCCCCTCCCATAGAATCTTAACACGGGCGGTTTGCGGTAAAACAAGGTAGAAATCGGATCCGCCGTAAAAAAGAAGACCGGGCACGGATCCAGCTAATCCGAAATCGGATCCGTACGGACGGAAATCGGATCCACCGAAACAAACACCAAAGCCACATGTGGATCCGCGCGAGCTTCATGAGATCCGACGGCGGTTATCTCATACGGGTCTGCTCAAGACTTCACACCGTCGTTCCGGGCCCAAGAGGAAAAAACTTTCGTCCTGGGGATGTAAGTGGCCGTTAGTGGCTCCAGCAATTACCATGTAGTGGCACTTAGTGGCCGTCAGTGGCTCCGAACATTAACATACCACTTAGCGGCACTTAGTAGCCCGAGATCTACCATTTAGTGGCACTTAGTGGCCGTTAGTGGTTCTGAAAAATACAACTTAGTAGCACTTAATGGCCGTTAGTGGCTCTGAGTATTGCCATTTAGTGGCGTTTAGTGGCCGTGTAGCCCCATCTGGGCCACGGGCATGCAAACCAAGGCTCGGGGTCGCCGACCTCCGTGAAACCACGGGCGCGTGAGTGAGACCGCCGGCCGCATCGGGACCGCAAGCGCTCGTGCCGCTAAGTGCCGCTATCTTCAAAAAAAAACAATTCGAAGACATTCTACAGTTCCCCAAGTTGGCCACATAACATGCTACTGCGTGCCACTTTCCCATCACAAGATGATACGCGAAACCCTGCCTATCTCTTCCGTGGTCGCCTTGCGCCGATCCGGCGCTTCCTCCATGACCTCCGCCGAAATAATTTCCCAGCGGCTTGGGCGGCCGCTAGTCGCCCGAGTGCCCGTCACGCCCCAGTCGAGTGCTCAGCCCTGTGTTCGCGCAGCCAGCTCGGAGGCTGCACTCTCAGAGCCACCCAAGCAGGGAGGTCCGGGTGGCGCCCGAGGTGCCGACGACAATTCATGCACCGCTCGACACACATGACGATCCACGGCTTCCCTCGGAAGCTTCTGGCCGAATTGGCCTGACGCGTTCGCTATGCACGGAAAGTCCCTCCGTCCCACCTCCATACTCGCTGAGCAGCTGACGCGACGCGAAGCTGTGCTGTGTCGAGAACCTTGAGGCCAGTCCCCCTCCTCCCCCTCTCCCTCCCACTTCCCCCTCCCCCCCTTCGGTTCCTTCGCCCCTCTTCCCCCCCCCAGCCCTCCCCCCCCTCCCGCTCTCGTCTCTCCCCTCTTCCCCCCCCTGCTCCCCCTGCCGCATCCCCTCTTCCCCCTCTGGGCCCGCCTGCCCCTCCCTCCCACTGCGCCCGGGCGGGCTCGCACGCCACAGCAC